ATTTTAAAAAAAATAAATGCACGGATATTTGATCATCCCTGGTGGGATTCGAACCAACGATCTTTGGATTAGAAGTGCAACGCGCTATCCACTGCGCTAGAAGGACGCAATGACTCGTTTCACTCATTAGGTAATGTGACAAGCCTTCATCCTGTTGTTAATAAAGATCAAAAATGTTAAGAAGAAAATAAATGCACAGAGATATTTGACCAACGCGCTATGCACTACTCTACAGGGATGCAATGACAAATTTCACTCATTAGGCAATGTGAGAGTATTTATCGTCTTGATAATAAAGTAGTTATGTTTAAAAAAATAAATGCACACAGATATTTGATCATCCCTGGTGGGATTCGAACCAACGACCTTTGGATTAGAAGTCCAACGCGCTATCCACTGCTCTACAGGGACGCAACGACAAAATTTCACTTATTAGGTTATGTGACAGGTATTCATCCTCTTGCTAAAAAAGTAGTAGTGTTTAAAAAAAATAAATGCACACAGATATTTGTTCATCCTTGGTGGGATTCGAACCCACGACCTATGGATTAGAAGCCCAACGCGCTATCCACTGCGCTTTAGGTACGCAATAACAAATTTCAATTATTAGGTAATGTGACAGGTATTCATTCTCTTGCTAAAAGTAGTAATGTTAAAAAAAAATGCAGAGATATTTGATCATCCCTGGTTAGATTCGAACCCACGACTTTTGGAGTAGAAGTCCAACGCGCTATCCACTGCGCTACAGTCACGCAATAAAAAATTTCACTTATTAGGTAATGTGACCGGTATTCATCTTCTTGCTAATAGTAGTAATGTTTAAAAAAATAATTGCACACACACAGATATTTGATCATACCTGGTGGAATTCGAACCCACGACCTTTGGATTGGAAGACCAAAGCGCTATCCTCTGTGCTACAGGGATTCAACGACTAATTTCACTAATTAGGTAATGTGACAGGTATTCATTCTCTTGGTAATAAAGTAAAGTAATGTTTAAAGAAAATAAATCACAGATAATTGATCATCCCTAGTGGGATTCGAATTAACGACCTTTGGATTAGAAGTCCAACGCGCTATCCACTGCACTACAGGGACGCAATGATTAGTGTCACTCATTAGGTAATGTGAGAATTATTCATCCTCTTGCTAATAAAGTAGTAATGTTTATAAAAATATATGCACAGATATTTGATCATCCCTGGTGGGATTCGAACCCACGACCTTTGGATTAAAAATCCAATTCGATATCCACCGCGCTGCAGGGACGCAATGTCTAATTTTACTCCTTGGGTAATGTGACATGTATTCATCCTCTTGCTAATAAAGTAGTAATGTCTAAAAAAAAAATAAAAGCACTGATATTTCATATCCCTGGTGGGATTCGAACCCACGACTTTTGGATTAGAAGTCCAACTTGCTATCCACTGCTCTACAGGGACGCAATGACAAGTTTCACTTATTAGGTATTGTGACATGTATTCATCCTCTTGCTAATAAAGTAGTAATGTTAAAAAAAAATATGCACAGATATTTGATCATCCCTGGCGTGATTCTAACCCACGACCTTTGGATTAGAAGTCCAATGCGCTATCCACTGCGCTACACGGACGCAATGACTAATTTCACACATTAGGTAATGTGACAAGTATTCATCCTCTTGCTAATAAGTAGTAATGTCTAAGAAAAATATACTCACACATATATTTGGACATTTCTTGTGGGATTTGAACCCACGACTTTTGGATTAGACGTCCACTGCACTACAGGGACGCAAAGACATATTTCACTTATTAGGTAATGTGACAGGTGTTCATCCTCTCTCTAATAAAGTAGTAATGTTTAAAAAAAATAAATGCTAACATACATATTTGATCATCCCTGGTGGAATTCGAACACACGACCTTTGATTTAAAAGTCCAACGCGCAATCCACTGCGCTATAGCGAAGCAATGAGTAAATTCTCTCATTAGGTAATGTGACAAGTATTCATTGTCTTGCTAATAAAGTAGTAATGTTTAAAGAAATATATGTACAGATATTAGATCATCCATGGAGGGATTCGGTCCCACGACTTTTAATTAGAAGTCCACTGTGCTACAGGGATGCAATGATAATTTTCACTCATTAGGTAATGTGCCATGTGTTCATCGTCTTGCTAATAAAGTAGAAATGTTTAAAAAAATATATGCACAGATATTTGTTCCTCCCTGGTTAAATTCGAACACACGACTTTTGGATTAGAAGTCCAACGTGCTATCCACTGCGCTACAGGTACGCAATGTCTGATTTTACTCATTAGGTAATGTGACAAGCATTCATCCACTTGTTAATAAAAAAAAGTAATGTTAAAAAGAAAATAAATGCACAGAGATATTTGACCAACGCACTATGCACTGCTCTACAGGGACGCAATGACAAATTTCACTCATTAGGCAATCTGAGAGTATTTATCGTCTTGATAATAAAGTAGTAATATTTAAAAAAAATAAATGCACAGATATTTGATTATCTCTGGTGGGATTCGAACCCACGACCTTTGGGTTAGAAGTCCAACGTGCTATCCACGGCGCTACAGGGACGCAAGAACAAATTTCACTTATTAGGTAAAGTGACAGGTATTCATCCTCTTGCTAAAAGTAGTAATGTTTAAAAAAAATAAATCACACAGATATTTGATCATCCGCCTTCGGATTCGAACCCACGACCTTTGGATTAGAAGTCCAACGCGCCATCCACTGTGCTAAAAGGACGCAGAGTCAAATTTCACTTATTAGTTAATGTGACAGGTATTCATCCTCATTCTAATAAATTAGAAATGTTTAAAAAATAAATGCACAGATATTTGATCATCCCTGGGGGATTAGAACACACGACCTTTGGTTTGGATATCCAAAGCGCTATCCACTGTGCTACAGGGACGCAATGACTAATTTCACTCATTAGGTAATGTGACATGTATTCATCCTCTTGCTAATAAAGTAGTAATTTTTAAAAAAAACAAAAGCACAGATATTCCATCACCCCTGGTGGGATTCGAACGCACGACCTTTGGATTAGAAGTGCAACGTGCTATCCACTGCGTTACTGGGACGCAATGACAAATTTCACTCTTTATGTAATGTGACAAGCATTCATTGTCTTGCTAATAAAGAAGTAATGTTAAAAAAAATAAATGCACAGATATTTGATCATCCCTGGTGGGATTCGAACACACGACCTTTGGATTAGAAGTCCAACGCGCTATGCACTGCTCTACAGGGACGCAATGACAAATTTCACTCATTAGGCAATGTGAGAGAATTTATTGTCTTCATAATAAATTAGTAATGTTTAAAAAAAATAAATGCACAGAAATTTGATTATCCCTGGTGGGATTCGAACCCACGACCTATGGATTGGAAGTCCAAAGCGCTATCCACTGTGCTACAGGGACGCAATGACAAATTTCACTCATTAGGTAAAGTGACATGTATTCATCCTCTTGCTAATTAAGTAGTTATGTTAAAAAAAAAATAAATTCAAAGATATTTGATCATCCCTGGTGGGATTCGAACCCACGACCTTTGAACTAGAAATCCACTCCTCTACAGGGACGCAATGTCTAATTTCATTCTTTATGTAATGTGACATGTATTCATTGTCTTGCTAATGTTAAAAAAAATAAATGCACGGATATTTGATCATCCCTTGTGGGATTCGAACCCACGACCTTTGGATTAGTCCAACGCGCTATCCATATCGCTACAGGGACGCAAAGACTAGTTTCTTTCATTAGGTAATGTGAGAATTATTCATCCTCTTGCTAATAAAGTAGTAATGTTTATAAAAATATATGCACAGATATTTGATCATACCTGGCGGGATTGGAACCCTCAATCGTTGGATTAGAAGTCCAGCGCGCTATCCAAAGCGCTACAGAGACGCAACGACAAACTTCACTTATTATGTTATGTGACAGGTATTCATCCTCTTGCTAATAAAGTAGTAGTGTTTAAAAAAAAATGCACAGATATTTGATCATCCCTGGTGGTATTTGAACCCACGACCTTTGGATTAGAAATCCAATTTGCTATCCGCAATGCTACAGGGACGCAATGTCTAATTTTACTCATTGGGTAATGTGACATGTATTCATCCTCTTGCTAATAAAGTAGTAATGTCTAAAAAAAATAAAAGCACTGATATTTCATATCCCTAGTGGGATTCGAAACCACGACCTTTGGATTAGAAGTCCAACGTGCTATCCACTGCACTACAAGGACGCAGTGACTAGTTTCATTCATTAGGTAATGTGACAAGCATTCATCCGCTTGTTAATAAAGAGTAGTAATGTTAAAAAGAAAATAAATGCACACACACAGAGATATTTGACCAACGCGCTATGCACGGCTCTACAGGGACGCAATGACAAATTTCACTCATTAGGCAATGTGAGAGTATTTATCGTTTTGATAATAAAGTAGTAATGTTTAAAAAAAATAAATGCACAGAAATTAGAT